CCAGACCGGGTAATGATCTTGCTCGGTATGCCCCGGGAATGTTGCTGTAGCATAGGTCCAAACAGGCGTCATTACGGGTGGGACAGTTAACATGCTGGTGGTATGTGGGCATACAGTCCGCTAAACTGCATGAATTGAAGTCGCCAATAATAATTTTGGCAGCATCAGGTGAGACCGTCTCAGCTTCAGAGACAAGGTCTTGAATTGTATTGGCTGCTATCTTGGCGTCTGCCGAGGGGGGAATGTACACCACGAACAGCATAACTTGATTTATTTCCCGTGGCAGATAAAATGGCCGGAGATAAATACTAAGGAGTTCAATATCCTTCGTACAAATACTTTGCTTGACGGTGATGTGTGCTGACGAGCAATATTTTTCGTTAATAAATGCACAAACCCCTCCACCTTTAGTTTTTCCTGAATCCTTGTTTCTGTCCATCCTCAACAGCGTGTATCCATCCAAGTCAACCAAGGTGTCTGGGTCATTCTCAGTTAGCCACGTTTCAGTCAAACATATCAAACTGGAATCACGGTATTCTGAGAGGAACTGTTGGCAGGCTCTGAGTTCATCAGTTTTGTTTCGTATGCTCTGAACATTGCCGTGGATAATTGTTGGAAGTGGAGTTCTAAATCTCGATTTTTTAAGTCTGTTCCTCACACCACCTTTACTCCCACGTTTACGCACTTTGGGTGTGTCCATGCATACCTCGGGTATTACGTAATCAGGCTGTGTCGAGAAAGCACGGCGACTCAACAGGAATTCACGACTGTACGATATCAATGGCGGAGGCTCACCTTCACTGTTGGTATAGGCTGCACCCAGAATTCGTCTAGCACTCCATGATAAAGTTAAAAATGCAACAAGAAACACCAACACAGGGAAACAGGGTACTTGACACATCATCTTACTTGAGAAAAGTCACAAACTTCACTAAAACAAGGCATAAAAACTGGATTTAAAAACTGACAAATACGGAGACAAGAAAAAGGCCGTGTCGCCACATGAGCAGCGCCACCAGCAGGTGGCAACTATAGCGTACAACTAGCTAATATATATTGAGCGTTTCAAGTTTGTTAACAAATCTCGCATAGTAAATATTGATACAGACGGACATCCCTTTGGTCACAATCATGGCTGTATTTTATTAGACTACCAGGGCGGTTCTGCAGTTCGTGCAACAAAATCACAAGATATATTTACCATTTTCAAATCATACGAAAGCCCATAAGGGAAAAATACGTAAGACTCATTTTGTAGGATCCAGTCACATACACAATACTCCGTTGTATGTTCATTTTCTAATGTCCTCGATCCTGCCTCTTGGGGATACAAAAAGTTCCAACAGCTTTATTACATACTCTGGAAATTATTAAACTAAATATAGTTCCAAATACTGGATGCACAAATAAATCTTATACACGAAACGTTTAACGTGATGTCATTAACCCTCCATGCATTAACGCTAAAAGAGACGATTTAAACGTCTAACAAGCGGGCCGAACTTCGCACCAAATCTCTGCTGTCGCATCTTGCATACGTCCATTATTTGAACATCTATACAGTTTCAAATTCAATATTACACAATAATAAGCTGTTGTGGAGAGCATAGGCCTACTCCGAAACAGCTCGTTTTCGTTATTTTTTGCATTTTTTTTGCTGTTTCGGAGTATATATTAATTTCTTTAAAAAAAAACACACTATGTTACATAATGGTACATTTCAACTTAAAGTTGCTCAACTGTTCAAATCATCAGCCAACAGAGGATTTTGTTAACACTGATTATGCTAATGGCTTTCGCCCGCTGATTGACAAACCCACTCGCATATCAGTCTTCATAGCGCTTTTCTTATTGACAACATTCTCATTATAGCACAATACTAATATCTTCACTGGTATCCTCTATGGTGATATTTCAGATCACTTGCCCCTTTTTCAAATCACTCCCTCTCTCTTCCAGCCTGAACCGTCTCTCATGTCTACCTACACATCCAGGAACATAAATAAAACTTCTTTAAATACTTTTGCATGTGACTTGGCTTCCACCGACTGGAGTGCTTTTTACAATTCGGTGTGTGGCAGTTCGTACACACAAAAGAGACCCTATTGTTGACAATCATTCGTCCATGAAAACAATCCAACAGTAAGAAGCATTTGCTACCTGTTGTCCAGTAAATGCTGAACAGCAAAGGAATTTTTTTATTCATACGGAATCAAGCATATGCTTTTCCTTAATGCTTGTACTCCAAAGTAAATGCTTTTACTTTTTGCTTAAACTTCGCAGCATTTGCTAGTTTTTATACATGCGACCTAATGTGTCTGGCTTAAATAAAACTTAATAAAAAATAAAGCCTCCACAGAGATTTTGCTAGGTAGAATAATTGAGGATCACAAATTGGTCATGCACTCCGCGAAATAAGCATTGATAAGGTTTAGTGTTAACCAGTAACCACTGACAATATAGCTGAATTTCAGTAGGTACAAAATAGGCGAGTAACGTTTCATTACAAGGGCATACACGTAAGGAATGCATAATACTTCTAATTTTAGGATGTTATTGTCTAAATTGTCCCAATCAGTGAAGTGAATGCAATGTGAAATGAAAACAACGATCTTCCAAATCGAATGTGTTTCATCAGACAATCATCCTTCTTGTTACTAGCCAATTTATCGGAAGGCATGTGAATGAAGAAAAACTGTGCAACAATTATTTCACCAATCAGAGGGCAGGGGCGGACCCCCTCCCCTTTTACAATTTTTTCGATGTTCAACGCCCTTTTAAAAAAACGCGTTTAAAGCCTTTCTTGGTTGTTCGGCTGATGTCTTGTGGTCATTTCGACTCACATTCGACTCAAATTTCATAAAATGGCACGAAGCTTAAGGCTCATTTATAATCACAAAAACTACCAGCTAAACAGTAAGTTTCAGTTAGCATGCATTACATCTAAAGTATGACTAATAGACTAATAAACTGCCTCAGTTTAAAGCAGTAAAATTCCAATGTTTATTGCATAAGGCAAAAAAAAAAAGTCTCCGGTTTCTGGTATGCGCGCGCGTCGCCGTAGCCATGCTCGTCGGCAAAATGAAAACGGTTTTTTTTCAATACAAGTTGTGTCTCAAAACCGCCAAACTCACTGGTTTGACTGTAATTCTGCTGCTGCGCAATTTCAACGTGTTTTCAGATGGGGTTATGATCGAGAGTAAGCTTTATGTGGCCTCTCTGGACTCCCATATATTTGCACAAAGTTTAGTCGAGCACCATTTGCAGTCATCAGCCGACATTTGAAGCCAAAAAAAAATATATATATGGTAAAAAAAAAAAAAGCCGCGTCGCCGCACCACTTTTGGGGCAAGCTCCATACCAGAAACCGGAGACTTTTTTTTGGCCTAAAAATAACACTCTTAAAAACTACAGTGGAAACATTGAAGAGAAAACAAAGGAATATAGCTTGCAATTTACTGGTAGGTGTTGAATATATTTACAGTACTATGTCATCTAATTGCACCTTTTCCGAATAACATATTCTTTATATACGATTTTGTTCCAATAACCACGCCATGAACATAAACAGATGAGTTATTGTAACCGGGGAGAGTGGAATTTAGTTTGTTAAAATGGGGCACTCTCCTTATGTCCGAGTGGTTCCACTAAAAAATGATTTGGGAAGAGCGAACTTTCTGTAGTCTCACAAATATGAAATGGTTTTATTTATAATACAAATAGAGACAATATATACAAATTATTAGATATTTACACAAGAATTATATTAGAAACTTGGTTGGGTATATAAAAACGAACTTTGTTGGGTGTATAAAAAACGACAGTCAAAAGGGAAATGGCTAATGAAGTAGCTCCAAGGATATTATCACTTGGGAGGATCTACGTTCATGCCTACTCCGATGTGAAAATCGACGATCAGCAGTGAAAATACAATGTAGATGTAAATATTTTACTGCTATCGGGAGCCTCTCTCAAAATTATAATACAAGTGAAGAGTGTAAGCGCTCGTAATAGATGGTCTGCTCGCAACAAAATGTTGGATCGAAATCAACAATATTCCGCAGCAGGCCCTACAAGAAAACTATACCGAAACGCCCGGAATGTCAACTATTCCGCTTAAACAAAGCGCGTTGGAATGCAAAACTTGCACGCTCGCTACGCCCATCGCATAGTTGAGCCAAATTCTAGGCGGCGCGCGCTGCTAAAAAAAGTTTAGTTGGCCGCGAGAGGGCGCTAGGCAAAAAGCATGATTGCAATGGCTGCTCACATGTAAAATGACATAAACACGAAGTTACAAAAGTTATGAAATGAATGCTGGAGTACATGGAGTAAGGAACCTGTCGGGTAAAAGTAAATACTGAAACCCGACCTGGTTACATTATGAAAATGGCTTACTGCATAGAGGCATGGGAAAATAATCAAAGGTCCAGACCACATTCTTTTCATTTTTGTCTTTCAAAACAACTGAGTGAAATTTTCCGAACAGCTGAAATTTGCTAGACACAAGGACAATTTATTACAATAAAATTTAAAAAAGTAAAAAAGTAAACCGATACTGCATTATTCTCCAAAGCTACAATGCAGTAATTTCGCTTAATATCTAGAAATGCGGACAACGTAAATAATATGAGCGAGTTGAATATTCCTTAAACCCCGTGCGGGAGTGGGGGGGGGGGGGGGGGGGAGAAACAAACCATTGTTATTGTAGTTAAGATCGCATAATCCCACTTACATGTGCGCATGGATGTAGACAATATTATTTTCAGGCAGAACGCATATAATTATAGTCAATTTCGCCTAGGATTGTTATGCGACGGATACAAGGAAGCGTTGGGCAATGACGTCACCAAACTAATTGACAGTGTGTCCATCTATTGTGCATGTGGTCCTCTGAAGAGTTGCCTGGCAAGCGTTGTCAGTTTGGTGACTCAAAGTGACGATCCTTGCCATGCTCCTCTTCACCAATAATGGTGAACAATGATCTCTGGTATTTGGATGCTTCAAAACCCCTCCTTATCCATGTCAAAGTACTGAACAAATGCAAGTTTGGTCTCGCTCATCCACGCTGCTGAATAGACATCATTAACCTCATCGTCACACATCAAACCTCTCAACGGGTTGATCAACCGGAAACCAGCATCAGGGTCGTTAATGCTCCACAGGTACATCGGGCCTCCACCTACCTCCGCAGACGCAATAAATTTATTGCCAAGGACACAACGGATGCAAAGGTTGTACTCTTCAGCAAAATCATACGACTTGGTGTCTCCAATGAATTTGCCATCGAGATTGAACAATCTCACATTTGAGTCCTCCGATGTGGCAAAGAGAAATTCGCCGTTAAACTCAAAGGAGAACGATTCATCATATGGGTCCAAATCTTCAAAGTCTACACCAGGCACGTCAAAGTGTCTGATGCACTCCCCCGATTCAACGTTCCATACCTTGATGACGTTTCCACGATTGGCACTCATCACGATGCCATCCCCAAGGTGACAGGAAATCATGTCATTGGCATCACTGACAATCGTCTGCTTACAGACACCACTCTGTGCATCCCATAAGCGAATCTTACGGTCGCTGTAAGCACCTGCAACTGTCTTGTCAAGATAGTCCACGTAAACCAGTCGGACGTCATCGGAGGTGCTCTCAAAGACGAAACGAGATGTACCGTCTTTAGCATTCCAGACCCGTATATCACTGTCAGCACGTACCTCCCTATCCCTGTCTGACTTCCCCGCAATACTCACGATAGTGTCACCATCAAAGAAGAGACAAAACACCTCCAAACGATGCCCCGACATCGCTTGCAGCTGCTCCCCAGTCACGGCACAGTACATACGAATCTTACCATCAATGCATCCTGCAGCTATGATGCCATTCTTCATTTTCAGGGCCTTTTGTCCTTTACTGACGTCCACTTTGATGAAATGTCGACGTTTTCCGCTGGTGATATCCCAGATATGCAAAGTATCATTCGAGAGAGCACCGGCAAGACTATTCCCGTCACAAGCTAGGCTGCGTAATGTCAACTCGGGTTCAGAGCCGACATATTCTTTGTTTCCCTCGTAGCCAGCTGAGCCAAAATGAAACGAGACAACGCGATACCGATTGTTCTTCCAATTTCCTTCAAGATGTCGTGCCTTCATGTATATCTCCTTCCATCTACATGTATTTACCAACCCTGGCCAGTTTAAACCAGTGACAACCGAATCAAAGGCAAAGGTGACACCGTCACCAACGCCTCCATCCCCGCCATGTTGAGGTGACGAAGGTATGAACGGGGGTTCAACACAAAGATCTACGACTGCATCAAACTTCTCCCATCGCTTCTCTCGACAAAGAGGGCGCCATAGAGCATCGTGATTGGCGGCCTCTCTCCATGATCGATTACATAATGCCACGCGACACAGGTCCTCAGCTGAAAGATGTTGAAGTACGAGAACCTTCAACTCATTCGGCAGGTTAGAAAAAGGGTCTTTTGTCGAAACTGACAGCGCCATCGCTGAAAAATACAAGAAAAAACATTTCAAGGGTTGGACTAGCATTGATTTGGGGTCCACATCTCTCCTTCCCCACCCCTCTTTTCGAATTTGCAACGGCCAGCCGCTTTTGGTCGCCGGTCCTTTGGCCCATTTTTAAAACTGTTCTGTCGCTGCTGCACTGGTTGTTTCTTGAGCCAACATTCTCCTAGCTATTTAAAAATAGATTCCTTTGAATAGACATAAATACCGTCTATGTAAATGTACATCTCCTTTTATGCCCACGTCATATTGTATCATTCTCCTGTCTATACCTCTGTAAAACCAAAGATTGTTAAACAAAAAAAAGTAGAACAGGAATTACATGCCTAGAGATCATGATGGGGAAGGGCGCCTCGCATGGTAGGTAGGTAAAAAGAAGATTTGCTCCATGCACCCATCGTGATTACTTCGTTGTGCACAGTCGCTGAACTATTTTATTCTCTTTTTTTGGCAAAATCATACAGATATCTAACAGTTTAAAGCAGTTTATTCTCTGATTACTAGCACCACTCATGTGCTTCACAGGGAAAAACGTAAAAGTGGCTGAAACATTTTTGACAGTTTACAATATTATGCTTATGAGCTTACTGTGCAGGAACATGTGTAGGTTCAGAGATGGCCTGAACAATTTCCCCTATTCTTTCCACTGGGTATCATGTGTATTACTGTTTATGACTCATTCTCAACAAGACTTTTATTTTTAAGCAACCTATTTTTTACTAAATTGTTTAAACTAGTGCAGGGCCAGTCGAAAATGTGCGTGTTCGGCAGGGGCAGTTCAGAACTGCAGCTCGTGTAACAACGCACATTATTCAATGGTGTGAACGCACACTCACAAGTTAAAACGCACAAAAAGTCGTCACCCCCTGGCACTGATATTTAACCCTACTGGACAATATGGTACCGCCCAACAACTGTAGGGCGTAGTTGTAGGGCGATACCATATTGTATTAGAGTTACTCAGTCGACCGCCTACATACAGTGCAGTGATGGTTGCTCAGTTGACTACAAAATGCATGTGCCTGTGCATGCCACTCACGTAAATGTACGTGCTATCGCCCTACAATGTGCCCGTCCTTTTTGCACTGCTTGCGTCATATGAAGCACGCGCGCTTTAGCTCGAACATGACGTAAACAATTGAAAAGAACCCCATGATGTGCCCGTCCTTTTTTTCCATTGTTGCGTCATATTAAGCCCGCGCGCTTTAGCTCAAACATGACGTAAACAATTGAAAAGAACGGCAGTGCGTGGTGTTATGTTCTAGGCTATATTCTGCCACGTTTGCCTCAGAAAATACTGCTTTTTTGCAGCTGTTTCGACAACCGCTGGTCCAAACTACTTCAAACTTGGCACTGCACATTCTGCTATCCGGAGCAATGCACCCGCCGATTTTCAACTCCATACGGTGCCCGGTTCAGGAGATAATCGACGGACAGACAGACAGACGGACAGACAGAGATTCCTTGAATTGTAGCATAGACTAGTGCAGGGCCAGTTGAAAATTTGCCTGTTCGGGAGGGGCAAGTTGAAAATGTGCCTATTCGGGAGGGGCAACTTGCTTGACCGCTGGTACTGGTTAAGGTTGATTGCCTTAAGGTTGATTGTTAAGGTTGATGGTATCGCCCTAGAATGCACGTGCGCGTGCCTGTCCTTTTTGCATTGTTGCGTCATATTAAGCACGCGCGCTTTAGCTTAAACATGACGTAAACATTTAAAAAGAACGGCAGTGCGTGGTGCTATGTTCTAAGCTGCCACGTTTGCCTCCGAAAATACCGCTTTTTTGCTGTCTAAAATGTGCTTGTTTGGGAAGCGCAAATTGCCTGCCGCAGGTATTGGTTGCATGCTTGCAGTTTTTGAGAACTGCTCGTGCAAACAACGGACGCGATTCATTGGTGTTGTTTTCACAGGTTGAACGCACACTCGTCCTGCAGTAAAGTCGCTCAGTCGACTGCAAAAATAATGTGCCCGTGCAGCCACCACGTAGGTGTACAAACGGTAACATGGTACGCAATGCTATACATTCACCCATACTGGACAATAGTATCGCCCTACAATGCCCGTGCGTGTGCAATAAAGTTACGGCGCGTCACGGTGCCCGAGTCTTTTTTGCATTGTTGGCGTCATATTGAGCACGCGCGCTTTAGCTTAACATGACGTAAACAATTGAAAAGAACGACAGTGCGTGGTGTTATGTTCTAAGCTGTACTGCCACGCTAGGCTTCAGAAAATACTGCTTTTTTGCAGCTTTTTCGAGAACCGCTCGTCCAAACCACTTCAAACTCGGCACTGCACATTCTGCTGTCCCGAGCAACGCACCCGCCGATTTTCAACTTCATACGGTGCCCGGTTCTGGAGATAATCGGCGGACAGACAGACAGACGGACAGACAGACAGACAGAGATTCCTTGAATTATAGTATACTAGTGCGGGGCCTGTCGAAAATGTGCGTGTTCGGAAGGGGCAGTTGAGAACTGCAGCTTGTGCAAACAACGCACATTATTCAATGGTGTGAACGCACACTCGCAAGTTAAACGCACAAAATGTCGTCACCCCCCTGGCACTGATATTTACCCCTACTGGACAATATGGTATCGCCCTACAACTGTAGGGCGTAGTTGTAGGGCGATACCATATTGTATTAGAGTTGCTCAGTCGACCGGTCGCCTACATACCGTGTAGTGATGGTTGCTCAGTTGACTACAAAATGCATGTGCCCGTGCATGCCACTCACGTATATGTACATGTACGTACGAAGACATGGTGTGCAGCGCTATCGCCCTACAATGTGCCCGTCCTTTTTGCACTGTTTGCGTCATATTGAGCACGCGCGCTTTAGCTCGAACATGACGTTAACAATTGAAAAGAACCTCATGATGTGCCCGTCCCGTTTCCATTGTTGCGTCGTATATTAAGCACGCGCGCTCTTGTTCAAACATGACGTAAACAATTGAAAAATACATCAGTGCGCGCCGGGTTCTAGGCTATATTCTGGCGCGCTAGGCCTCAGAAAATACTGCTTTTTTGCAGCTTTTTCGACAACCGCTGGTCCAAATCACTTCAAACTCGACACTGCACATTCTGTTGTCCCGAGCAATGCAGCCGATTTTCAACTCCATACGGTGCCCGGTTCAGGAGATAATCGGCGGACAGACAGACAGACAGACGGACGGACAGACAGACAGAGATTCCTTGAATTGTAGTATAGATACTAGTGCAGGGCCAGTCGAAAATGTGCGGAAGGGGCAGTTGAGAACTGCAGCTCGTGCAAATAACGCACATTATTCAATGGTGTGAACGCACACTCGCAAGTTAAACGCACAAAATGTCGTCACCCCCCGGCACTGATATTTACCCCTACTGGACAATATGGTATCGCCCTACAACTGTAGGGCGTAGTTGTAGGGCGACACCATTATATTGTATTAGAGTTGCTCAGTCGACCGCCTACATACAGTACAGTGATGGTTGCTCAGTTGACTACAAAATGCATGTGCCCGTGTATGCCACTCACGTACGAAGACATGGTGTGCAGTGCTATCGCCCTACAATGTGCCCGTGTCTTTTTTGCATTGTTTGCGTCATATTAAGCAGGCGCGCTCTTGCTCAAACATGACGTAAACAATTGAAAAGAACAGCAGTGCGTGGTGTTCTAGGCTATATTCTGGCGCGCTAGGCCTCAGAAAATGCTGCTTTTTTTGCAGCTTTTTCGAGAACCGCTCGTCCAAACCACATCAAACTTGGCACTGCACATTCGGTTGTCCCGAGCAACACACCCGCCGATTTTCAACTTCATACGGTGCCCGGTTCTGGAGATAATCGGCGGACAGACAGACAGACAGCCCGACAGACAGACAGACAGACAGACAGACAGAGATTCCTTGAATTGTAGTATAGACTAGTGCAGTGCCCGTCTAAAATGTGCATGTTCGGGAAACGCAAATTGCTTTGCCGCTGGTATAGGTTGCATACTCTTGCAGAGTTTTTGAGAACTGCTCGTGCAAACAACGCACGCTATTCAATGGTGTTGTTTTCACAGGTTGAAGGCACACTTACGTCAAAGTTTGTGCCAAGTTTGAAGTTCGACCACCTACAATGGTCGCTCAGTCGACTTCAAAAATAATGTGCCCGTGTAGATTCGGAAACATGGTATGCAGTGCTATTCACCCATTGATCCATTAGTATTCACCCATACTGGACAATGTATCGCCCTGCAATGCACGTGCGCGTGCCCGTCCATTTTGCATTGTTTGCGTCATATTGAGCACGCGCGCTTTAGCTTAAACATGACGTAAACAATTGAAAAGAACGGCAGTGCGTGCGGGTGTTATGTTCTAAGCTATATACTGCCACGTTTACCTCAGAAAATACTGTTTTTTGCAGCTTTTTCGAGAACCGCTGGTCCAAACAACTTCAAACTTTGCACTGCACATTCTGTTGTCCCGAAAAATATACCCGCCGATTTTCAACTTCATACGGTGCCCGGTTCTGGAGATAATCGACGGACAGACAGACAGACAGAGATTCCTGGAATTATAGTAAGACTAGTGCAGTGCCCGTCTAAAATGTGCATGTTCGGGAAACGCAAATTGCTTTGCCGCTGGTATAGGTTGCATACTTGCAGAGTTTTGGAGAAATGCTCGTGCAAACAACGCACGCGATTCAATGGTGTTGTTATCACAGGTTTAACGCACACTTAGGTCAAAATTTGTGCCAAGTTTGAAGTTCGACCACCTACAATGGTCGCTCAGTCGACTGCAAAAATGATGTGCCCGTGTACATACGAAAACATGGTATGCAGTGCTTTTCACCCATTGACCCATTGTATTCATCCATACTGGACAATGTATCGCCCTGCAATGCACGTGCGCGTGCCCGTCCTTTTTGCATTGTTTGCGTCATATTGAGCACGCGCGCTTTAGCTTAAACATGACGTAAACAATTGAAAAGAACTTCAGCGCGTGCGGGTGTTATGTTCTAA